GATTGTGCTCCTACAGCGCCTTTCATCCCAAAGAGCTGTATAATTATCAATAAAGCAGGCCTTACACTGCCCCTTTGACATCGGTTGATTTTGTCAGACTTATTTTATAAGAAATTGATATGAACAAAGGGGAAATTATTTGTCCATACAAACAGTAATGAAGAAGGAATAGTGTCTGAAGTATTGTAACCTCCAACCTCTGACTCCAAAACTACCAGGCTGTTACACCCCGGGGCAGAAGTGCAGTGTATGCCATGCCTGGGAGGACCCTGCCAACTTTTACAAGTCAGTCATTAAGGATATCATCTAGTGGAAATGGTTTATTAAGATCCATCCATTAACATACTTCTTTTGTTGGCTTTATACATCTTCTCTTTAAATGAGCAAAATCCAAACCTAGTTGTAAATGTTCCTAGTAATGCTCCAGTTTTTTATAGTAAAGAACTAGAAGTAAAAAAACAAAAACAAAAAAAAAACCCTCAAAAACAAAAGGAAAAAAAAGAGGTGTCAGAGAAGTTTTGACTTCAGCTTCCAGGCAATAGACGGTAGAAATGTCATACTCCATACAACCTTGCTGTGTCAGGAATACTCACAGTCACTAAAGGCAGAAGAACTAAATACCATTAGAAAGCAAAAAATAAATTTTAAGAAGACACAAAACATCTAATAACTTGTGTGAAATGGGGCATCTTTTCAGATTCTGGCCTGGAGCCTTCCTTGGGTCTGAGTGAAAAAAAAAAAAAATCACATCTGGTTAATCTTAGCAAGTTTCTGCAGTGGGGCTGATTTGACTGGAGGGAGGATGGAACTGCTAGTGAAACAGAAGGCTGGGTTCATTGGGTTACACTGACTTTTAGACTGGCGCAGCTGCTATTCAGTACAGAAACAAAGATTTTTATTTGTTTGAGTTTGGGTTGGATTTTTTGGTTCCCTTTTTTATTTTTTTTAAAGCAAATTCTGCTTACTGTTGTGATCGCTCTGGTTCTGAGCATTTTCCTTCCTTGGCAGGAAACACTTCAGTCTCTCATGACCTGAAAGTTCCTTACCTTCTCTTGACGTGCTTGAGAATTCACAGGCTTCTGTCATACCATCCCTTCCTCTCCTGAAAACAATGGCATGTGGCATCTAACTTTCTCTGAGAACAAGCCCAGAGTTAGGTCTCTGTTAATAAACACTCACCTTGTACCAATGCCAAAATAATGGCTTATTATGATCCTGCGTTGGATAAGGGCTGCTCAAGACCTCTCTCCCTTGTTTGTGGAGCTTGCAGCTTTTTCAGATCAGGTTATAAAGCAACTTGGTTATGTACTGTCCTTGGAAATGGATAGACATCCACAGTATTAATGACTATAATTAAGAGCTGTTTCATAAAGGCATAGCTCAGCAAAAGAAAATATTGATTTTTCTTCTGTGGGATGAGGTTTCATCAGGATTTGTCCAAATCACTTCTTTAACAGCCAAAGTGTGTGTTTGACCATCTGCATTTTTCACATAGGGAAAAACAAACATAAATCAACTGTGATTAATTAAGGAACAATACCAAAATTCTTACTCGAACATGAGGATAGTTCTGATTGTCAATAGAAAGCAGTTTGTAAAAAGAGCTTAAGGCTAAAGTTTAGTTAGCCTTTTAAAAATTTTGCTTATGGCTCAGTGATGTTAGAATAATAATGTAATTAAAATGAATGTCATTACATGTTTGGTTTTGGGAAAACAAGTAACACTGTGGCTGCGGGTTCATGGATGTTCAGTAGGTTCATTTGATCACATAGGAGATTAGGTGATGAGCTATATAAAAGACCTAATGCTACAAAATTGTAACAAAATTGTGAGTTAAAAATGCAAATGAACTTTGAGGACCAAGCTGATTGGCCTTTTAGCTTCTCCTTATAAAAGCAAAGGTTTGTTTGCCTTTTAAATAGTCCAGTAAAATTGAATTGGCACCCTATAGTGCATGCAGAATAGACAGTCAAGAAGAATAGCTATAAGGAATAAGCAGAGGAGTTTGAGATGAAGATTTTTCAAAACTAATAGAAGATGGATAGTCTGTAAAAGTGTTAAATCCTAAAGATCTGCGGTGAATGCAAACCTGAATCGGATAAATAAGACTGGGCAGGGCGGCGCACTTGTTAGAAGATATTGTTGGTGATCTTTCAGAATTTTTAGATAAAAAAAAAGTTGCAAATATCTGAAAGGCCAAATCGGAAGCTCTCACCTGCTCTGGGATGTTCCACGCAACCAGCAGCTCCATGTTGGCTATTAGGTGTTCTTTGGAGAAGGTCCTGTTTACGGTGAGGTTGTTCACAGACTCTGATTTATTTTTTTTCTCAGATTACTCACAAATTGAGAATGGGCTCTTTGCGTAAATGAGCACAACCTGCTATGAAAATAGATACACCGTAGGTCAGTGTTTTAAAATATCCCTGCAAGACAGAATTTTGTCCAAAGGACAACGACCTTGAACCATTTTCTAACTGTTGACCGCACTGCCTAGGTGCCATATCTCTAAGAACAAGAAAGAGCACAAACTGGACCAATTCTCAGCTGGTTCCCAGCACAATGCAGAGGAACTGGTCCATGCTGGAGTTAGCCCCTGCCGGTTACCTTTAGCACTGCATCTGTTCTCTCTGCTGACTGTGGGATGTGGGAATTAGCAGCCCTAATCCGAGCTAATCTGTATTCTTCATTGTAGTCCTGTACTTGGGTAGCATGGTGGACTTGCTGAGCCCCCTTGTGACTCTTCTTTCAGATACTGTGTCCCTGTAAATCTGAGGGATTTCGGTGGCGTCACAGTTCAAAAGTATTCCTGAGCCTTATACTCTATAAGAAATAACGGGTGAACCCCTGATCATTTGAAATACTCTAGGTTTTTAGGGTCAGGAAGGGATGTTTCCTGGAATACTTGTCCTTCTCTGCTTTCTCTGCAGTACAGAATCTACATAAAAAACTAGTAAACTAGGCCATTCATAAATATGTAAAAGAAGCCTGATCTGTGAGGTACTGACTCAGTGTGTGTGAGGACACCCGGCTCTGCTAGCCCCACTTCAGTCGTTATTCCCATGGAATTAGAGGGTTTACACGCCACTGAAATGATTTGGAGACTGCCAGATTTCTAATGTAGTCTTTTTTTTTATTTTTCCTTTTTTCCACCTATAAGTTAGTGCCTTTTATTTGTTACTTCAGCAGATAATTTTTATGGTAGCTTTTCTACTTTATATCCTGCTGGTATATAGTTTAGCAAAATGCCTTTTGAAACAGTGTATTTAATTCCTCAGTCATGCCTCTGGGAATAAATTCTTGCTGTATTAGAACTTCTTTTATATCTTTTCTTTACTGTGGTTGAGAACTTCTGCAAACTTTTCTTTCAGAAAATTCTACTTCTTATTCCCTCTCTGTGCCTCATGTGCGGCTCTTTTCTGTCTACACCAGCTGGTATTTGCTGCTGTTATCCCCGACTGGTCATGTCGTGTTACAGTGGCTTAAACACTTAAAGAAATTCCTTAATAGCATTTCTATTTTTGCATCTGGATCTACAGGAAGAAAATCGAATTTTCACACCTGACTACCTGTTTGAGGTGTTATCCATGATGCTGTGTCAATGAGCTGATATTGCGGAGAATCCTTTTTAAAATTACTTTAACAGGCTTTAGTGATTCTGAATGGTAGCATTTATGGTAGGAAATGTTTCACGATGGTACTTTCAGAAGTAACGATGCTGTATATTTCTGTGTAGAAGTCATGTCTTCTTTACTGGTAATTACTTCCCCTTGCTTTTTGCAAAGTTAAATACGCTGCATTTTGGCAAAGCGGTTAATGGGGCTAGTTGAAAATTGTTGTTAAATCCAGTTCTTGACAGGCGAAATTGTTAATGTTGAATGAACGTTTTTCTGGGAAACTTGTTTTCATTACAAATGGGAGTTGCTCATCTCAGTCCAGAAATGTTTTGATTTAGAAGTGCTGCTATGCTGTAGTGTATTTCAGTTGTACAATCTTTATTGTGGACCAGAGCCGCAGCATCTCACGTGTCAGGCTCCCTCGCTATCTCTGATGCAGTCTCCCTCCATGGAGAGAACTCAGGGTCACAAGAAGTTTGCTCTGTTCTTACAGAGTTGAACAACAAAGAAACTCTTTTATCTGAAGCTCCCATGAAGTTGACGACATTTATAAATTGAAATACTTTTCATTTTTGTCCAAAATGGTCGTTGTTCAATCTCTGTAAAGTATGGGAAACGAAGTGTTTCCCCAGATAAGTACATGTGAAACAAAACACCTTTGACTGCATTTTGATTATTTTCTGGTACTAGATGAGTTCCTCAGGACACTGGAATGGTTAATGACTAAAAGCCTTCAGGTTAAGGGACATCAGCTTTCGTCCCACGAAGCAACAATGTGTTCCTCGTTTTTGTGGTCATTAACGAGCCATACGCTTTCCAAATTGCGTGAAAGATTTTAACACTCGGTTAAGAAACCACCATAATTTCTCACTGAAAAAGACCCCACCCAGATTTCATACAGAAATTTCAGGGTTGTGGACTATAAAGGAATAAAACATCCAGATTTCTTTGAATCAGGCCTGTATCAAGGTGGGATGCCAGGGAAAACTGCATCTTAACATTTTGACTTTTAGTCAGACCTGATATTTGTCACATAGCTGCTAAAAGAGCTCTCAAGACACTGCTGAAGGGAGGGGAGGTATTTTACAGACAAGCAATGTAATCCCATGTTTGTTTTTAAAGAATATGGAGAGATTAGTGGATTATAACAATATAGCAGGACAAATGGCAATCAAGAATGTGCTCAGGCCAGTTTAATTCTGACAAAGTTGGTACAACTCACAGCTACACTGAAATTAGCATATATTATCTCATGAATTCATTCCATCTGCTGCGTCATACAGAATAATTTCAGGATTACTTAGAAGGCTTACTTCAAATAGATTTTGAAAGTTTGTTTGCGTTCATTATCTGTCAGATTTTAACACCCCTGTCTGTCTTTGTTAGTCTGTTCACAGTTTTCCAGAGGAGTTTATGCCATCTTTGGATTCTATGACCAGATGTCAATGAACACACTGACATCATTTTGTGGAGCCCTTCACACATCCTTCGTCACACCCAGCTTCCCCACAGATGCAGATGTGCAGTTTGTCATCCAGATGCGGCCAGCATTAAAAGGAGCCATCCTGAGTCTCTTGACTCATTATAAGTGGGAAAAGTTTGTGTACCTCTATGACACAGAACGGGGTAAGCACCATAATTTTAAGTGTTTTTTCTATTTCATAACTTGCTAAAAGTATTACCAGAATCAGTATGTGCAGCCCATCCCAGTTTTCATCTGGATGCAGGTAGCACATTCTGATGGTCCTAGAAAACAAGTTTATTCTGAAGAAACCAAAATGAATGGATAAATGAAAAGAAGGCATCTTCATATTACTGATCATTTGTAAAGAGATTGTCTGAAGGATAGTGTTAGCAGTGTAAGCATTCGATTTGGAATACCTGGTTTCCATGGAGCCGCAGACTCAACACTTGCCAGGGTTTTTGAGTCCTTGCAAAATAAATAGAGTCGGCACTATGAAGTGGGCTGTTAAGCAAGACCTTCCACTGTGCGTGACATTGCAAATCCCACACCACTTTACATAAATGCACATTTCTCCTGTCACTGGACAAAGGCAATCCTTGCTAAGATGCACTCTGGAGATGTCTAGGCATCGATAATGGTCTAAGAATATAATGCATAAAATGCTTTAGGGCTCTGCTGGAGAAAAGATGCTCTAGATATGTCACATGTATATCCAGAGATGAATGTAAATACATGACAAGAATGACCAGAGATATGTTGTGCTAAATGAAAACACATTAAAATCAATGTTTCCATGCTTAAGCCAATTGTTAACTACTAAGAAGCACCAAAGGTAGCAAATGCTGTCAGATATCCAGTATCAGAAACCATTTTCTTTGAGGAATCTTGCATGTTTCTGTGGAGCAGCTGTTGCCACCTGCTCTGAGTGAACAGAATTTTCTTGGTTACAGATTTCACCTGGGTAGCACTTCTTGCATCAGATAGATGTGCCATTGCCCTTGTCACCAACATTGATTAACAACTCCATGACCACCTCCTTCTATGTTTTGGATTTAGTATGACAATAATGTTGCTAACACACTGATGTTTTGGTTGTTGCTAAGTAGTGTTTATACTAAGTCAAGGACTTTCCAGCTTCCCGTGCTTTGCCAGTGAGGAGGTGCACAAGAAGCTGGGAGGGAGCGTAGCCAGGACAGCTGACCTAAACTGGCCAAAGGAGTATTCCATACCATGTGGTGTCATGCTTGGTATATAAACTGGGAGAGCTGGCCAAGGGGGCATCAGGCTCAGGAAACAGCTGGGGATTCGTCAGCGGGTGGTGAGCAGTTGTGCTGTACATCACTTGTTTTGTACATTCTGTTATTATTATTATCAGCAGCAACAGCATCTTCCTTTTCTGTCCTATTAAACTGTCTCTATCTCAACCTATGAGTTTCACTTTTCTTTTGGATTCTCCTCCCCATCCCACCCCAGGTCGGGGAGCAGGGAGTGAGGGAGTGGCTGTGTGGTGTTCAGTGGCTGGCTGGGGTTAAACCATGACACCACGCACGGGACAAAGTTGTGATACCCTGGGCTGCTGCTTATTGATAAAGATCAAGTCTTCAGTGGCTGTGCTTTTCACACTGAAGATTGATACCATCACCTACCTAAGGACACACCGTATGTTGAAAATATGTAATTTTTAGTCTGATTTTACGTGAGTGCCAAGAGTTCAGAATTTTCTGAATGATTTGGAGGTGTTAAATATTTCTAGTGTTCAAAAACGCTAGCTGTGAGATCGAGCAGGAAAGTATGGAGAAGTTGGGAATGCCATTAGTTTTTAAATCTTTTAAAACCACTACCCAAGCATCTATATTTCTGGTTTAGACCACTTTTAAATGAAAGCTCCTGTGAATATGCCATTTATCTAAATAAGAAAGGTTTGGTGTGACTAACTGCGATAAACTTATAGCGTGCGATAAAGTAAAATGTCATCTGTTCCAGGACGGATGGAACTTATCATGATTAATGCTAATAAAGTTTGCTTTGGAAAGAGATGCATCAGTCATCCGAGCTCATGCCTAATAAGAAATTTGGCACTTCAGAGTGGAAAAATCAAGCAAAACAGTGGGAGTTTCACTAGATGTAGTCTAGATGATATGACTGTCAGACCAACTGAAATAGTAATGGAAGTCATGAGGGAAGGCTTGTGGACTCGGACTTCCATTTTTGTACAATTCTCAGTGCGTACAATCTTTAGTTAGACCGATCGTGGGCTTATTATGATGACTAATCCCTTTAGAACAGTTTGGGTTGTATCTAGGCTTCATTTTGCCTTGTTCATACTAAGATTTTAATCACAGGTTAAAACACAGCTCTTGTGGGTGAAATTAGCCCCAGAATTTGCCCGTCCAAACTTCTGTTGCCTTCTGCCCCTTGTCTTGACTTCCCATTCACATCCTACTCACAGTCTTACAATTACTAATCAAAATCACATTGTGAACCTGCTGTGGCTCCCATGCATGTGATGCTGGCCATATGTTATGTCAGGCATTCAGACTAAGTGTCAGAGTGCAAACTCTGAATTAGAGGACAGTGCAGGTGACTGTAGGATTATAAAATGTAGCTCGGGGTTAGAAGATAAAGGTGAGCTGTGGCTTTAGGATGGAAGAGGCATCAGTGCATATAGGTAGCTTGATGATGGGCTTTGGGTGGTTTGAGATCGACTTAACCACATCTTATCTTTCCTTCCTATACATATATCCTCATTGCTGTTGTTTGATAACGTATTTGCCATCTGCTAAAACAGGAACAAAAATGAACAGTTGATTATCTTCAGTTACTTCTTGTTTAGTTAGGTTAAAATGAACTTGGTAGCAGTCTTAGGGTTATAGTTGCTATATTCTTCCAGCATTAAAATATATTAAGAAGAGTCATATAGGAGGGAGAGACAGGGCAATTAGGTACTGAGAAATAGACATTAGATTCCTTTGTTTGGTGAGCAGTAATTGTGGCTGACAGCACCTGAAACATTTGGCAATTCCAGTGGGCTGCCTAATTTCTTGTGATAGGCCTTCAAATACAAAAAAACATCCCAAGAGGCTGAACAATAATAATGGTGAATGACTCCTTGTGTCAGGTAGTGAATAGGCTGTACGTGTTCCTATGCTGAGATACCATTGGAAAAGAAAACACTAGAGCTGTCACAATTTTTTAATAATTCCTATCTTAGATACTTAACTGCTTTGGGGCACAAATGCTGTAGAGAGGAGGTGTTAAGCAGTTTACCGTCAGTTCCTGAAGCAAACTATCATTTAAATACTGCCTTTCTGTGAAGGTTATTGTCTCACTGGTTTGTTCTGAGAATCTGAGAAATCACAAAACATTAGAGTACTCTTTCTTACACTGAATATTAGGTATGGACTAAATTGTTCTTGCAAGTAGTTTTACAGTGTTCTGCTGAAGCAAAACACTGCCACACTGCCATGTATTAAACACTGCATTTACTATTAATAAGTATCACAGCATATTACAGATGCCATGCAAAACTGAATAAGCCATCTTTTGTGGTTTTATACTGCTTATTGAACTATTTCAGTTTCGGCTTAGGAGAACGGAGAATCAACTTTATAAAACTGTTTTCCTTAAGCAGTGTCTTTTTTATTCTTTGAGATCAAATCATATAATCATGTGGTTTCGCCCTCGGTGACATTAGGTACAATACTGTGATGTTTGGCTTCCGCAATGAAGACAAAAGAGAAATCTCAAACAATAGAATAAAGTTAAGATTTACAATTACATAGATAGATGGTCAAGCTTTTCATCCGGTGAGTTAGTGTGTATGTTGTATATGTTTATATTTGTAAGTAGATTATTTTCTGTTGCTGTGAGATGACTGAATGTTGCAGATTGTTCTCTCAAATCTATATTTATGTGCAGGTGCAAAATTTAATTTCTTAAAAACTGCTAAAGCACACAGAAAGAAAAATGAAACATGAGATTTATGAATTCCAGCAGCAAGAATTATGTCTTATCATTGCTTATTTCAGTTGCTGGACTTACTCTTCTGCGAAGAAACTGAAATTTAAGAGAAATACCAAATTGCATGTTCTTCTCCTAGTACCAGCAGAAAAAATAAATTATACTTTGCAGAGAGTAATGATGCATTAGGAAATGGCTGCTAAGGGAAGAAAGGACGTTAAGCAGTATATAGAAGAAATAGTCATATGTTCATTCAGTGCCACATGCTTTTAGTTCATGTGAAAGGGAAAGGCAGGGTTGATTTCTGTTTGTATTAACTCAAATCAGTAAGTTGACACTGTTGGTTGCTGTGATGCGTGCAAAATATCTGATTAATTATATGGTGCTAACTGCCTCAGTAGGCTTCTCTGCAGTAGAACTAAGACTAATTAAGATTATGTCAGGATGAAATGAGATGGGGTTACATACAGAAAGCTATTAAGAATTTGTGTAGCACTTGTCAGGAAAGCCACCTTTTGCATCTCATGCTGAGGATTATGTTTCATAAAAAAACCTCAGGTTTATTTCCAGTCTTCAGGTCTGTTTCTCTTCTTGCTTTACTGTACTGTAAATCAGAGGTTACTCCACTGAAGTCAGTGGACCAGAGTAACGCCAGTGTGAATGTGTGGAGAGGTAAGATTGTGGTTTTCATAGTCATCTTAATGTTGCGTGAAAGTGTGAAGCACTTCTCATTTAATTATAAAAATGGTATGGTAGACTGTAATACCGAAGCTTTTGTTTATTTAAGTTTCCATAATGTTTCTGAAGTAACATTTCAGTTTATTTTTGCCTGAGAAACATTGTTTTGTACAGATTGTTCACTTTCCATCTGTCAGTACCTAAGTTACTTTGATTTATCATACCTACCGTGCACAAAGACCTTGATTTCTGTCATGCAGATCATTTAAACGAAATCACACCAAGTGATTTTTGTGATGTGCATCAAGTCTTCTCCCTTTTCCTTCAGATCATAGGAGTCATCACAGGACAGAAAAGTGACTTTGTGTAATGCCTACCTACACGATAGGAGCTCAGTCTAGACAGAGGTGCAGATAGATCACAGTTTTTATAGCGTTGTAACCAAATACCTCTCTAAATCTGAAATTCTTCTGTCATTTGGTTCTGATTTAGTCTGTCAGTAGGTATCTAGCAATACCTAACA